GGTCTCGCCTCCACCCCCTCCTGTAATAAAGACCGGTCCCTGCTGATCTCTCTCCTTGTGCAGGGTGACTGGTCTTGTCTCCGCCCTCTCTTGTAATAAAGACCACTCACTGCTGCTCTCCCTCGTAGTGCAGGGTGACTCGTCTTGTCTCCGCCCCCTCCCGTAGTTTGCTGCAGGTAGCTTGTATTGGGTGGAGCCTGCTTTGCCCCTCCCACAGCTCTGCTTTCTACACAGGTTATGTACAGCACAGTGATTATGTCATCGCTACTTTTACATGGTAAAGCTGGGCTTCCAAAGGCATTTGGGCATCATAAGGTGGATTTATATCCTTTGTGATGCTTAAGGAATATATTTAAGTGGAAGTTTGTGAGCCCGGAGTTCAGCTTTAAGGTGGCCCATTAATTTCAGATGGGTTGCCAAAGCTTAAGAAAAACCAGCCATGCACCATTTAATATTCAATGCAACGTGCCAAGACTCAAAGATGCTCCCGATCTGTGTTTTGTGGTGTGCGAAGTATAAAAAAATGACAGTGCACATAGCAACGCATCTCGAACTGACAAGGTCTTGTCCATGTGAACATTACTGCGGATGTTGTGCATTGCTGTACCATTCATTTTCAACGGCGCGTTCAAAATGAATGGCACAGCAATGTACAACATCCGCAGTAATGTTCACACGAACAAGACCTTGTCAGGTCGAAATGCGTTGCTATGTGCACTGTCATTTTTTAGACTTTTGCTGAGATGATTTTAAAAGTGACGTTTTACAGAGTGCGGAGGATTCTGCTGACCCATTTCCTATATTTATGGCGGTGAATGAACACGGACTGTGCACTCCACTGGAGGTTTGATGAATCCCGGGGAGAGGGGTTAGCTGACCATTAATAATCTTTTCCAGCTAAATGCTTGCTGAAGTTTGCTTGATCTCTGCTAAAGTGCAGCCAGCAGTCCCATTAAGATCCGTACTCTGTGTTCCCGGAGAGCAAAGCAGTTTTTGCTGGTCTCGTGTGATTTCAATGCAGGGCAAGGTGAGCATGCAGAAGAAGGGGTTAATCAGCAGGCCACACACATTATGACCTGACTTTGCAATCTCTGTACAATCTCCTTCACATATACCAAAACCATGTAGCAGAAGTCCGACCTAAACAATCCTTTCCAGTTGTATATATTTTTATTAAAATATTCATTTTCATCCTTTTTGCTGCATTTCTGTGCTGCATTCACTTTCAGTCCACATGCATTCCAGTGATGGCTGCAGGGCATTTCTTGCTGCTGCTTTCCTAATATTGACAAAAGTGGAACATGTTCCGGTAATGTGTTTTGAAATGGTCATTTGTAGTATCCACATAAACCCAACTGACAGGGTGACAGCGAAGGAAAACAGTAGAGACAGGGACAGAGAGTTGTCACCCTAAAACAGGAAGTGCCTAAACTGGATCACCAGGGATTGTTTTAATTAACACTGCAGATATAAAAATGGAACAACTTTTGAAATGACTGTAATCTGTTACAAATGATAGGAAATATTAGTTAGACCCCTATCGCATGGTCCGATCCGGAGGGGATCCGTGCACAGATCCCTTGCTTATCAGAGCAGTAGTGATCAGATGTCAGCGCTGTGACATCCGCATCCACCCAGTTTTTTCCTCCATCTTGCAATGGAGGAATAAACTGAAATGATCGGACCCCATGTTGGACTACGGCAGGGATGTCCAAACTATGGGCCTCCAGCTGTGGTGGAACTACAAATCCCATGAGGCATTGCAAGGTTCTCACAGCCACAGACTCCTGGAGAGAGATGCATCATGGGATTTGTAGTTTCAAACAGCTGGAAGGCCGGAGTTTGGACATCCCTGGCCTATGGGGAATCAGATGTAAAATGACTTGTGTCCCTTTACATCAGATTAACACAGATCTGGCATGATCAGGTCCGGCAAAACTGAACTCTGTTCTGTTTGATTTCTGGACCTGGCCGGAGCTGGGGGCAACTCCATGTAAACGAAAACGCGTCCATTTAGATCTGGCAGCCCATAGACTTACATTGGTCATTCTATCGGGTCCGCCTGAAAAACTGACATGTGGACCTGATTGGGCCAGCCACCTGAAAGGGCCTTATTGGCCTATATATCCCCCTGGCTATACTTACCTTTTGGTGACCTGTCCTTTCCCTTAGCCGGTGCGGGTTTACTATCCGTACTCCATACTGCTGTGTAGCGCAGCTAGGGTTGCCGCATTTCCCGGATTCACCTGGACAGTCTGGCAGTCTGGGTTTTGAGTCCTGTATGTGCTGTTTCCAGGTTCCAGACCAGCTGAAACCCAAGCACAGCACAGACAGGACTCAAAACCTGGACTGTCCAGGTGGATCCGGGACAGGTGGCAACCCTAAGCCAAGCCCTGTGCTATGAATTTTGAATTTTGCTTGCAAATGGTGAGCACTCATTGGTCAGCCTGGTAACCTGACTGTGCCGACCAATGAGAAGCGCTTCTAATCAAGAAGCACTTCTCATCGGTCAGCGTGGTCACAAGTGCTTCTCATTGGACCTGTCAGTGTCAGTGAGCTGACTAATGAGTGCCCACCATTTGCGAGCGAAATTCAAAATCCAGAGCGCAGGGCTGTGCTGCACGGCAGTGCGGGATACGGATAGTACACCCGCACCAACGGAGGGGAAGGAGAATTTGCTGAAAGGTAACAGGTAAGTAGAAGTAGG